TCCTCTTGCTCGGGATTCTTGACAACCTTTTCTTGCTCAACCGAGAAGTCATATTGCGGAGGTTGAGTAAATGAGTATGGGATCACATATGTTATTTCTGGTTGAAACTGTGGACCCTGAAAGGTGAACGTTGGAGGCTCAACATACGACTGTAGTATAGTTGGTTGTGTTGTGGTGCAGACTGGTGCTGCAGAGAACATTGTTGGCGGTGCCTTTGAAACCTTTTCTTTTTCTTTTTTTTTTTTGCCAGAGTTTCGGGGTTTTCAAATACCTCAATTTTTCAGAAACCGGGTAAATTTTCTCTATTCGCCCTCACCCTTGCTTTTTCTTGATTTTCTTTCCCTATTCTAGAAGTCGGTCAACATGCAAGCCGAAACAAAAATATACACAAGTAGCACATAAAATGCATTAGGATGGTCTTTTTATATTGGGTACACATGTCCTAGACGGACCCAACCTCTGTGTTGAGTCCCCAAAGTCAAATGCACGTGATGCAAACAAGCGTACCTACTAGGGATCCGACATGAGGCTTTGTTCATCTAGGTTTAAATTTTGGGATGTGTTGTTCTAGACCTGGCTTATCCGAGCGGACAACCCGAGCCAGGGGAGGGGGGCAACATACCTGGAATACAAAAGCTTCACCGACTTTGCAACTTGTCCGATCCTCATTCTAAAATTAGGGGTATGACTCTAACAAAAAAGAAACCACGCGAAGCACACGCTTCCGAGAAGATTTAGTAGACTTATAGAGAATAAGGGTGTCATAACAGTTTTATATACAGTTCACAGAATATCCAAGCGGTAAATGAGTGGCAATTAGCACATTAGGCCCAAACATGTAATATCAGACAATCACAAGAAAGCCAAGCATAACATTTATTATAAGCTCGAATTCTGAATCCTAAACCAGAAGTTTTGGGTTCTTGTCCCCAGCAGAGTCGCTAGAGCTGTCACACCTTCCTTTTTTTGGAAAGGATAGGGAAGTTTTTTCAATTAAAGTGACACTATTCGAAATAAAATTATTTATTTAATTAGAGTCGCCACTTGGAATAATTATTATGGAGTCCCAAGACACCAGTTTATTTTAAAATCCCAAATCGAGGAAATTGACTCTATTTATGGTCTGCGAGCACAAAAGACTGGGTAAAGAATTTTATTAACCCGGGAGAATGTGTGAGGCACTCCTGAGTTCTGTGATTTTAGTACAGTCGCTTAACAATTAATACTTGGCCTAATTATCTGATTTATTACCTGTTTTAAACTTATTGTGCATTTTACCTTTGATCGCTTTTAATTATGTATTTAAACCACATTTTAGTATTTATGGAGTTATTTATTGAACAAGTTACGATGTTGTACACTTGTCGTTTGGGTACACATTGCAAACCGCGCCACGTGAAACGCACCGCGATTCACAACATGTTTATTATTATTATTATTATTATTATTATTATTATTATTATTATTATTATTATTATTATTATTATTATTACTGAAGTTATAGTCGAGTCGCATAAAATGCACACCCAAATTGAAGAATTATGTATCACGACTATGCCACAGGAACCGTACCCATAGTTGTGATGATTTATTTACGCGTCTAAAGAAAACTACGATATTTATGAATTATTTTCCTAAACTACCTTTGAGATTTGTTGTAAGGTTTTGGCGTATGGAAACGTTTGGGCATGGAATGTGTAATCTAATTACTTAAACCTTTGTTGGATTGATGTACGACTACATCATTATGGGCTTGAACTTATGTGACTCCAAATGTTAAGACTAAGCCAATGCAGGGAAGGGGTCTATATTTGGAATCAATCTGATTTTACCAAGTCATTAAGGCTCTTTAGATGATCACTATAGGTGGTATTTTGAGGGAGCTAAAGCAATGAGCCTTAATAAGGGTTCGAATCGCGATACCATTGGCCCTGCTATGGTAGCTTGTTCACACTCTAATTGATTCATAACAATGAATTACAAACTTAATCGATTCATAAACAAATGACTTACATAATCATGAGAAAATAAAATGAGATCAATTTTAATCATGAGAAATAAAAATGATATTAATTTTTGAATAACTTACAAAATCAATACCCATTGATTTTATCTTTACATGTATAACCCGTTACAATGGTAATCATCTCTGGGCATTACAGTGACATCCACTTTAATCACAATTTTCGATAATGGTAATGGACATGAATGCTTTCTAATGTATATGGAAGTCATTTACAATAATAGCTAAACCAAAACAGGATATGATTAATCTTTAGTTTAAACTTCTTTCCAACAGTGACTTCAAGTCCACTCCTTAACTTTAGAGTTTACTAATCTCACCAACTAGTGGTCAGATCTGCAAACTACAGCCCTATGATCAGTAGCAACAGCTCTTTACATCCTCAAATTAACAAAAATTCACATATTTCATACACAGAACACTATAGTAGAGCTTCTGTTTGAACTACTGCCAAATCTGCATGATTTAAACAAAAACTTCAACCTTATTCAAAACTAAAAGGGTTTAGCAATTGATGCCACATGCTTAAATGACCATAGATATCAAATTGACCCATATAATTGATCTACTTCATTGTTTCCAACCCAGATTGAAGTGAAATGCGCATTTAAACTTCACATAAGATAACAACAAACAAATGCTCATAAATCAAACAAGAATAGCAACATTTCTGGTCATTCGATAAAAATATAATACATAGAAAATTTGGCACTAACCTAGTTGAACAGGAAAACATTAAAAGATAATCCAAAGAAGAGTCGAATCTGATCCAAATTAGAAACTCAACAATAACTTTAGGAGTAGAACCAAGGTTCCAGCAGTCAATCAAACTTGTAAAATCGAAAGAAATGAAGCAAAAAAACAAAAACAAAGAAAAGTTTGGAATTCCTTTTTTTCTTCTATATTTAAACTGAGTTTTCAGGGTGTCTTCTTTTTGAAAAAATCAGTGAGGAAAAGGGAATGTATCAGTAATTTCTGCATGGAATTTAGTGTGTGTGAGTGAGGGAATGTGAGGTCTTGTATAGAAAAAAGAAGAGGGAATAATCTGAGGAGTGTGCAGTCCCTAAAAATAAGGAAAATAGCATCTTTTCTTAACAGATTTGGACAACTGTCCTATTTTAGCATCTTTTTCCTAACAATTGTCCTTTTTTTTCTTTTTATTTTTTAGCATCTCTTTTTCCTTCTAGAAACATCTCAAAGACTCTCCTAAGTTTCCTATTTCAAATTACTCCCTCAAACTTCTAGTATTTACAAACAAGCTAGAAAGATCAGATGGATAGGTAAAACAGAGAAATATGCCGATTATCCTACCAAACAACTCAACAAACAACTTGCTTCAATTGCTTAAATTAATCCAAAATGAATTATCCTAACAAACTCATACAATTAAAATACTTAACATGCAATTGAACTACTAAAAATTATCCTAACGATTCAGGTAATTAAACTATCTAACACATGCAATTAACTAATAACCTAAATAATGAACATTTAAAATAGTAATTACTATTAAGTGCAAGACTAACAATTAATTAAACTAAACGAGAAAGAAAATGATTACCTTGAAGAGTGTGAAAAATTTGGAACTTTGACTGGTCGAGAACAAATTGGCCGGACTCCGGTGCCTTCGACACGAACTAAAATCAACATCAATCGATTGCTCCCATTGAGAACAATCGATTAATGTAAATTTCATATTGAATCGAATCTTGAAATCTTGGAGAATAAAAAAGAAAGAACCTAGGGTTTCTAGGGGTTTTTGAATTTGAAATTCAAAAGATTTGGTGGGGTTTTTGGGGAAAACAATGGTAGATTAGGGTTAAGGGTAAGATGAGGATTGCAGGTGAATATTTGTGGTTGTTTGGAGCTTGCCCGCCGGTCAAAATGGAGTTGTGGGTATTAGGCGGCTCAGGGTTAGAGAGATTTGGGAGAGATGGGAGAATGAGGAGGTCTTTTAGGGTTTGGGGGGAGGGGGGTCAGACAGATATAAAGGGGTTATGTGATGAGTTCTGAGCCGTCGGATGCAAGAAGATCAACGGCTGGGATCTTGGGAGGGCAAAACGGAGTCGTCTGATTAAAGAGGGAGAAACAGACTGGGTCGGGAATGAGCTGGACCGGGTGAGATTTTTTTTTGTGGGGTTTGGGCCTCAACATGAACTGGCCCATATGCATTTTAAAAGACCCAAACAAACCTACTTCTTTCTTACTTTGATTTTAAAACCTAGCCAAGTTAATAAAAATCCTAAATTAAATCCTAATTCAAATCTAATTTGCAAAATTAAACTTACCTATTTTCTAACAATTAACTAATAATGCATGTAAAGTTACTAAATGTATTTTTGTGGTGGTTTTCATGTATTAATTCTATAATTAACAAATAATTAATTCCTAAAAATGCAATTAAAACCTAAAATGATATGGAATGAAGATTTGAAATTTTTTATGATATTTTCTATGATTTTAAGATATTAAATATGCATAAAAATGCAACTAAATGCAAACAAACAATTAAAAAGAAATTTCTAGAAATTCTCTAAAAACTAAAAACAATTAGAAAATTTATTTTTGTGAATTTTGTAGGAGTATTTTCGTAGGAAAAAAATTACGTGCTCACAATCCTTTCATTTTTAATTCACGTATTATGCTAATGTAACAATAGTTTTTGGCATTTAGATGATTGTTGTATTATTATATATAAAATTTCTCTTATTAAGTAAATTGTATTGTTCCTTCACATAAATAAATACTTAAACCATCATATACCATTATTAACGTGCAAAGCACGTTTATGGAGATAGTATTGATGAAATTGATGAATGACGGTTTGATAAATATAGATTTTTGATAAAAATATTTTTATCTTGAGATAAATAATTATCTCCCGCATAACATAAAGCTATTCCTGCTATTGCTTAAAAGTACTACTTTTTTTTTTTTTGATCAAACACCTCAAATCTCAAAAACAAATATTTCTTCCGGAGACAAAATAGCAATTTTGGCTCCCAGAAGCTTTGGTCAGAGTCAGACACGCTATAAGTTGTCAAAGTAGGCTATTAGAAAAAAAGTTCCCAAAACTGCCAGTGACCCGGCCTGTCATTCGACCCAATACGACCAAGCCCAATCAGCGGCAGCGTTGCCGCCATCACCACCACAACACCACCAAGCAGCGCCCAGTATCCGAGGCTTGAGTCTAAAGCAACAACTAGGCCTGAGTCTAAGCCTAATTTTATATAGAATTTTTGTAATAGTTTTAGGTACTGAATACTACTACTACTACTACAACAACAACAACTAGGCCTGAGTCTAAAACAAGTTGGGGCCGACTGTTGGCAGCATATTTGTTTGCTTTTTGAAGTTGAAGCTATAATGATGAGAGGAACAGCTTGTTCAAGGAGAAGTATATCTACATTTTCTAGTTTATGTCAGAGAATTAAGCAGACAGGTGCGTGTTTCTTCCCGTGAACTATATTATTCATAATCTCATATCATTATTGGGAATGCTCTTTTCAATCAATTTGTTTGTTGGTTCAAGAAGTGTTGTGTATTAGTTATGGGTATACTAGTGATACCCAAAAGTAGATTTTTTTCTTCATAAGGTAAAAATAGATTTTTTTTTTCTAGGAGTTGTTTAGGTAAGTAGAACATATAAAGAATTTTAGTACTTTTTATTTTTATTTTATTTTTGTACAATATTGGCCTGAGATGAGTTTATATGGAGTAAGATATTCGGTGAGTATTACTATAGCCGACCCCAACTTGTTTATGACCGATGCATGGTAGTTGTTATTATTGTTGTATAATGTACAATAGATAGATGTACTGCTAGATCCAATCTATATTATAGTTTTTTCTTGCCCTCAAATAGCGGGAAACTTGAGGCGCTACTATGTGTGCCAAATGCAGATAGTAGGATTTTTCATGAAAGGTAGAACTTTGCAAAAACTTGATTTTTTCCCCATTAGGCACTAAGATGATGATAGTAATAGCCTTTATTTCTTTGATGTTGCAGAAAGTGAAATTGTTAAGATGTTTGAAATGTCAAGGCCTAAGGCCGAAACAGAAGGGTTCCAAGAGAAGCAAGCACCCTTAAGAAGGGGCTCCGTAAGGATATTAGATGAGAGGTTCATCAGGATTCTGAAGATATTTAAGTGGGGTCCTGATGCTGAAAAGGCCCTGGAGGTGCTAAAGCTGAAAGTAGATAATGAATTGGTTCGAGAGGTTCTTAAAATAGACATGGAGATCAGTGTGAAACTTCAGTTTTTCAAGTGGGCTGGTAAAAGGAGGAACTTTGAACATGACTCTACCACCTACCTGGCTTTGATTCGATGTCTTGAAGAAGCTGGGCTAACAGGTGAAATGTGGAAGACGGTGCAAGAAATGGCTCGGAGTACATGTGTCATAACTCCTGCCGATCTCTCTGAGACTCTAAGAATTTTAGGCAGGGCAAAAATGGTAAACAAAGCACTATCAGTATTTTACCAGATTAAAGGCCGCAAGTGCAAGCCAACGGCAACCACTTACAATTCCATTATTTTGATGCTGATGCAAGAAGGTCAACATGAAAAAGTACATGAGCTCTATACCGAAATGTGTAATGAGGGCAATTGTTTCCCTGATACAGTTACATATAGTGCTCTTATATCATCCTATGCAAAACTAGGTCGTGATGATTCTGCTATTAGGTTGTTCGATGAAATGAAGGACAATGGTTTATATCCCACTGCAAAGATATATACTACCTTGTTGGCGGTTTACTTCAAATTGGGTAGGGTGGAAACGGCTTTAGCATTAGTCAATGAGATGAAAGAGAAAGGTTGTGCTCCAACTGTGTATACTTACACTGAATTGATAAGAGGGCTTGGTAAAGCTGGTAGACTCGAGGAGGCATATTCTGTATTTCTGTCCATGCTAAAAGAGGGATGTAAGCCGGATGTTGTGTTGATAAACAATGTGATAAACCTTCTAGGAAGGGGAGGACGTATAGGTGATGCTCTTAAACTGTTTGATGAAATGGAATCATTAAACTGTAAACCGAATGTTGTGACATATAATACTATTATAAAATCCCTGTTTGAATCCAGAGCTCCAGTATCCGAGGCTTCATCTTGGTTTGAAAAAATGAAAGCAAATGGTGTTGCTCCAAGCTCTTTTACTTATTCAATACTTATTGATGGGTATTGCAAGAAAAATAGAGTTGAAAATGCTTTAGCCTTGCTTGAGGAGATGGATGAGAAGTGTTTTCCTCCTTGTCCAGCTGCCTATTGCAGCTTAATCAATAGTCTTGGAAAAGCAAAACGCTATGAAGCTGCAAATGAGTTGTTTCAAGAACTAAAAGAGAGTTGTGGATCTAGTAGTTCTCGGGTATATGCTGTAATGATAAAGCACTTTGGGAAATGTGGGCGTTTGACTGAGGCTGTCGATCTTTTCAACGAGATGCAACAACTGGGATGCTCTCCTGATGTCTATGCGTACAACGCAGTCATGTCCGGGCTGGTGAGAGCAGGTATGCTAGATGACGCTTTTTCCATGCTTCATGCTATGGAGGAAAATGGTTGTGCTCCCGACTTAAACTCATTTAACATAATACTAAATGGTTTGGCCAAGACCAGTGATCCACAACGGGCAATCGAGATGTTTACAAAGATGAAACATTCAACAATTAAACCCGATGCTGTCTCTTACAACACCATTCTTGGTTGTCTTAGTCGTGCTGGCATGTTTGAGGAAGCTGCAAGGCTGATGAAAGAGATGCGTGCCAATGGTTTTGAATATGATCTTATTACATACTCATCAATACTTGAAGCAGTTGGTCATATTAACGGGGATGGTACATATCAAACTTCCTAAAAGAGCATTGGTATGTTAGACTCTCTTTTGGTGCTTTTCTTTATTTACGCTATTTAATACTTGGGTACCTTTTGAATCATCTCGGCCTGGCAATATAGACTTGCTTTGTGTAGGGTTTTACAGTAATAATTGCAGCACTTTTGTTACTCTTCCTGCTGGTGTTGACTTATGTAGATATGTAATTGGCTTTTATGGTAAAGGTTTGAACTGGGGTATGTTCAGTACAATATTAGCATGCATGCAGAATCTTTCACCTGTTTTCTCAAATCGCTGGGCGGAATTAGGTTTGGCAACATCCTGTAAAAAGGACAGGGATGGTGATCTTTTGGCAGGTGGGACCTGATTAGTTCATTTTGTTTCGTGATTCTCTCTGTGTTATATTTCTCTAATTCTCTCTGTGAATATTTGAAACTAGTTATAGATTTCCGTTTAGGCTATGTTTATTCTACCTGTTGGTAGCTTCTTTATTCTGAGAACTTGCTTTAAGAACTGCGGTTTGGATTTAAATTAAGAATTCCTTATTAATCTTCTTCTGGAAGGGAGGGATGGAGAGAAGGCAGGTTTCACTTGTCCTCTGCATTGGGTAGTTTTTCACTAGAGAATTCAATTACTTTGCGCTCCAGGATATTTAACAGCTGCTTTTTCTATCTCCTTAGAGTGTGCCAAAAGGTATTTTTATATACGGGCTTGGTATTCCTCAAGATTCAATAGAATAATCCTCTTTTCTTTTTCTAATAATGGTGGTGTCCGAGCCAGCTTGAGTCTGATCTTTGCTGCTAAAAATTGGAGATTCAGGACTCAGAAATCACTATGGAGTATGGACTATGGAGCGAGTTTACTGAAGCCAAGTACTGTAAGAGAGCACAGAATGGCTAAAGTTTGGGATTATGGACAATCATATTTGGAGAAGATCGATGGAAATCAAACCAAAGGTGCAGGAGTTCATTCTATGGAAACCTACTACTGAAACTACATTGTTTTGATGGGATAATTGGTCTGGTCTTGGGGCTATTGCGAAGTTTCTGTTACCTGGGCCAAAATCTGGTAGAATTGAATTCAATAACCTCATGGAGGATGATAGGTGGCAAGTCTATGAGCTGAAAGAGACTGCCTACACACATTTTGAAACAAGTGGTAGCAACTAAAGTTGGGACAGCTTGATAGCACGGATCAGGCCATCTGGAAACCTGCTACAAAATGGAATTTTCTCATGTAGATCAGCTTAACAAGTCTTGAAAATCCTTTTCTTCACACAAAGATATGGCACAAAAAACTTCCATTCAAAGTGTCATTTTCCATGTTGAGTTGCTGAAACAGAAATTATCTACAGATAATGTTATTAGGAGATTTGGGATAACTGGGACAAGCAGATGCTTCTGCTGCAGAAAACCTCAGGAAGATTTCATATCTTACCTTTTCTTTTCTAGCTAGCAGGCAAGGAGAGTATGGCGACATTTTGGAAATGTTCGGGGAATTAGAGAAGCTGCTGACTTGAGGCAAACTCTGATGTCATGATGGTTAGTTAAGCTCAAGAATGAAGTTCATGCCTTTATATTACAATGCCTTCCATCTATTATATGCTGTGAACTTTAGAAACAAAGATGTGCTGCCAAGTATAGTGGAGTGCATTGTTCCTTGAATGATTTTCCAGATTCATTCCTTAGCTGTTATGCAGTTGAAATGCCATTTCAAAAGCCATGAATGGACATACACATGGACCGAGATTTGCACCAGTGTTGAAGGCTTCAGACCTGGATTGTTGATTACTGAAGTGCAGTGGGAATTAGCGACAAGTGGTAGGCTTAAGTTAAACACTGATGGTAGTTGTAATCAACAACACAATTTCATGTATGCTTGAAAGCTTACAAGATGATTTCAAGTGGTGTCTCACAGGGGTTTATGGTCCTCATAACAACATAGAGAGGGAGAACTTCTGGCATGAACTTGCAGCTATCAGAGGCATTTGGGAGGATCAATGGGTCATTGGGGGAGACTTCAATGTTTGCAGATATGAAAGCGAAAGATACAACTGCGTCAGAAGGTCCAGGGCAATGAAATCTTTCTCGGACATCATTCAAGACCTAGGCATCATAGATCTGCCCCTTCAAGGAGCCAATTACACTTGGTTTAGGGGGGAGGACTCCCTGCAAGCATCCAGAATTGATGGGTTTTTAATTTCACCAGAATGGAATGACAACTTTAAAGCAATCAAGTAGTTGGCCCTTCCAAGAGTTGAATCAGACCATAGGCCTCTCCTATTGGAATGTGGTGATTGGCAAGCAAATCCTTCCTACTTCAAATTTGAAAACATGTGGTTTCAAGTTGAAGGTTTCATAAACAAAATTGAGGAATGGTGGAACAGTTACTCAATTAGGGGCAGTCCAGACTTCATACTGGTGCAAAAACTGAGGAGACTGAAAAAAGATATCACAGATTGGAACAGAACAACCTTGGTCAGTTGGAAGCTCAAAGAACCAAGCTTCTAGAAGAGCTAACTATGCTGGAACAAACAACAGAAAATAGACTCTTGATTCAGACTGAAAAGGAACTATCAATGCATTTAAAGCTCGAGTTGAAAAAGCTGGCAAAGGTGGAAGAGGTATCATGGAGACAAAAATCTAGGTGCTTGTGGCTCAAAGAAGGAGACAGGAACACAAAAATTTTTCAAAAAATGGCCAACTCTCATAGGAGAAACAATTGTATTGACAAGTTATTGATTGGGGCTGAATTAACTGAAGACAGTGATGAAATTAAAGATGAAATCTTAAGATTCTATCAAGACTTGTACACTGAGAATGAGCAATGGAGGCCTTCTGTAACCTTTGAAGGCTTGGACAGCATATCACCAACTGAAAAAGTATGGCTTGAAAGACCCTTTGAGGAGGAAGAAGTGCTGGCAGCAATAAATTCTTGTGCACCGGATAAAAGCCCAGGTCCTGATGGATTCACCATGGTTTTCTACCAAAAAACCTGGTCATTTATCAAATCTGATATTATGGGGGCTCTCTCACACTTCCATCAACACTGCTTCATGGTTAGGTCATGCAATGCCTCTTTCATTGCTCTTATCCCCAAAAAGAAAGGAGCAATAGAACTCAGAGATTTTAGACGTATCAGTCTCATTGGAAGTATCTACAAAATTGTTGCCAAAACTCTAGTTGAGAGACTGAAGACAGTAATTTGGAAGCTGGTTTCTGGAGAGCAAAGTGCATTCCTGAAGAATAGGCAGATCACAGATGCCTCACTTGTAGCCAATGAAATGCTGGATGATAGACTGAAAAGAGGGATTCCTGGAATTCTTTGCAAGCTAGATGTTGAGAAGGCTTTTGACAAAGTTAACTGGTCATACCTATTTTCAATGTTGAAAGCTATGGGGCTTGGGGAAAGATGGGTCAGATGGATAAAATACAACCTCACTACAGTTAAGTATTCAGTTCTAGTGAATAGATCTCCAGTGGGCTTTTTGTCCCCTCAAAGGAATAAGACAAGGTGACCCTCTGTTACCCTTCTTATTCATCCTAGCCATGGAGGGTCTGAGTAAAATGCTAGATAAGGCAAAACAAATGCAGTGGATTGAAGGGTTCATGGTGGGAAACAATACAGATACCTTAGTCACAGTTACTCACTTACTCTACGCAAATGATACCTTAATCTTTTGTGGGGCAGAGAGATCTCAGGTGCAGTTCTTAAACTTGACACTACTTCTATTCGAAGCAATCTCAGGGCTGCACATTAATATTTTGAAGAGCATGATCTACCCAGTGAATGAAGTTCCTAATTTGGAGGAGCTGGCTAACTTAATGGGCTGTAATATAGGCTCCCTTCCTACAACTTACTTAGGCCTCCCTCTAGGAGCAAAGCACAAGGCAACAAAGATCTGGAATGGTGTAATAGAGAGAGTGGAGAAAAAATTGGCAACATGGAAAATGCAGTATCTGTCTATGGGTGGTAGACTGACTCTAATCAGCCGTGTTATAGACAGTATCCCTACCTACATTATGTCCCTCTTCCCTATGCCAAGTAAGGTGCAGAAACAACCGGACAAAATTAGGAGTACATTCCTATGGGAAGGAAACAGTGAAGGCCATAAATTCCATCTAGTGAAGTGGCCAAAAGTGATCATGCCAAAAAACCAAGGAGGTCTGGGAAGCAGAGATTTGATCAAGCACAACAAGAGTCTGCTCATGAAATGGTGGTGGAGGTATGCTCAAGAAACAACAAGCATATGGAAAGAGGTAGTTAATGCCAAATATGGGGTGCAAGACAGGTGGTGCACCAAGCAAAACAGAGCCCCACATGGAGTTGGCCCGTGGAAGCATATCAACAATCTGAAAGATGCATTCTTTCAAGAAGTATCCTACAAGGTTGGGAATGACAACAACATTAAATTCTGGAAGGACAGATGGCTCAACAATCAACCCCTGAAAGATTCTCATCCTGGCCTCTACCAGATTGCTTCTGACCCTAACTCTTCTATAGCCCAAAATAGAGCAGGAAACACATGGGATCTTCACTTCAGAAGAAATATGCAAGATTGGGAACTAAATCAGTTATTTGACCTATACAGAACTCTTGAAGATGCCATAGGGAATCCTCAAGTCTCAGACAGCTTAAGGTGGGGCAACTCTGAAAAAAGTATCTACACTGTGAAGGCAGGATATAGCAATCTAAGTGCATCCAATGATATGATCGAGCTTTGGCCATGGAAGCTAATATGGAAGACAAAACTGCCCACAAAAGTCAAGTGCTTCTCCTGGACAACTCTCTATGAAGCTATTCTGACCCAGGATAACCTTTGTAGAAGGAATTTTCAGTTGGCAAATAGGTGCCACATGTGCAAGCTCAACTCTGAGTCGGTTAACCACCTGTTACTACACTGTACAGTGGCATCAGATCTTTGGAACATGTTCCTTGCACTCTTTGGTATCAGCTGGACAGTTCCACAGAACATAAGGGATGCAGTACTTAGTTGGAGCCTATGGGAAGTTGATAGATCCATCAAGAAGATCTGGCAAATGATCCTAGCATGTATTTTTTGGTGTTTATGGACAGAGAGGAATCGTAGATGTTTTGATTGCATTTCAACTTCCAATGGTCATCTGAAGTCTAAATATCTAATGAGTCTTTTTAGTTGGAGTAACCTTTCCCCTGTAAATGATATTATTCCCCTCTTAGACTTCATTAGTTCTCTCTCAATGGTCTAGTAACCATTGCTTTTTTGCTCTTGGTTAACTCAAGGCTCTGGAATAGTTTTTTTGTCCTAAGGAGTTAACCAAGTTTTCTATTGTAACCTTTTGCATCTTCTTGATGCCTTTAATACAATACATTACTTCATAAAAAAAAAAAACATACCCAGTATATTCCCACAAGTGGGGTCTGGGGAGGGTAGTTTGCACGCAGACTTTACCCCTACCTTGTGCAGGTAGAGAGGTTGTTTATGAGAGACCCTCGGCTCGGGTAAGCACAATAATCAATAGTAAAGAAATGCAATATATAAAAATGAAAAAGTTTTGGAAAGGAAACATAAGCAATAGTGAGAGTAAAACAAAACGAACCAACAACAACCACCCTGTATAATCCCACTAGTGGGGTCTGGGGAGGGTAGTGTGTACGCAGACCTTACCCCTACCCTGGGGTAGAGAGGCTGTTTCCGATAGACCCTCGGCTCCCTCCCTCCAAGAACTCCCCACCTTGCTCTTGGGGTGACTCGAACTCACAACCTCTTGGTTGGAAGTGGAGGATGCTTACCACTAGAGTAACCCACTTTTGTCTAAAACATAACGAACCAGAAGCAATAATCGGTATTGATATGCAAAGAATAAGCCACAATTAGCGTAATGTTAAATCTACCAGCAAGGGAGGGAAGTACGTTGTACTACCTACTAACCTTCTACCCTAATCTTTGACCTCCACAACTTCCTATCAAGGGTCATGTCTCCAGCAAGCTGCAGAAGCGTCATATCATGTTTAATCACCCCTTCCCAATATTTCTTAGGCCTCCCTCTACCCCTCTCCTAAACCCCGCATGTTCAACTTTTCACACCTCCTTACTGGGGCCTCTGGGCATCTCTCTCTCTCTCTCTATTTTTTTTTTTGAGATGGTAACAGACCCAATATATTAATAAATCATCAGCACAAATTTTGTACTGGAACCAAGATTACATCAAGAAGAGATAGGACAAAAACAAAAATTAAACTTCCTTGTTCTTCTTACAACGAGCCTAAGACTTCTATGATTGAATCCTGGTCATCTATATATTCTGTTTTACACCCAAAACTAAAAAACCGAATGCAATTCATTTTGATTTTATGTACGGGGCTACTTATATCTTCAAAACACCTTGTATTCCTCTCCTTCCAAATTGTCTACCAAATGGTTGCTGGGACAATTTTTCATCTATCTTTGTTAGATGTAGAGCTCCCCTCGTGTTGCAGCTAGACAAAAGTTCATAGGTTCTTCCTGGCATTGTCCATCGGATACCCCTGATGTTAATGAACAATTCCCACAACTGTCTTGTCACTCTACAATGTAGAAACAAACGGCTAATTGTCTTTGCATCTTGGCCACACAAATAACATCTAGAACAAATTGATAACCCTCTTTTCATGAGGTTTTCTTGAGTGAGTACTACTTCTTTAGCCACCAACCAAGTAAAGCATGCCACTTTATATGGTATTTTGACTTTCTAGATATGCTTCCAAGGCCATAGGCTGAGTTGAGATAATGAGATCCTATCCGATTCAGATTTTTATAAGATGATCCTACTGTCAACCTCCCGCTACTATGTTTCTGCCATCCTATTGGGCATCTCCTTATCACATGCCCATACCATCTCAGTCTCACTTCCCGCAGCTTATCTTTCACGGGTCCACCCCCACATTGTCCCGAATAACCTCATTCCTGCTCTTGTCTCTCCTAGTATGCCCACACATCCATCTCAACATCCTCATTTTTGAAAACTGAAGGTGTTGGAGGGAGTGTTAGGGCAAAAATGGGGATTTGAGCATGGCATTTGCTAAATCACTCCAGTTCTGCACTAATAAACAAAGTTAGCCTCTTGGCAGAGACAATATCTTTCTATGGGGGGAAGATTGACACTCATTAATAGTGTATTGAATAGTATTCCTACTTATCTCATGTCTCTGATTCCAATGATTCCAATTCTGAACAAGGCAGTCAAGCAGTTGGATAAAATTTGAAGAACCTTCCTCTGGGAAGGAGGCAGCAAGGGTCACAAACTTCACTTAGTCAAATGGTCAAAAGTTACCATGCCACAACAACTTGATGGACTAGGTATCAGGGACCTCAACATAACAAGTGCATGCTTATGAAGTGGCTATGGAGATATTGTCAAGAAGGGAATACGTTATGGAAACAGGTGGTAACTGCAAATCATGGATCTCAAAGCCACTGGTGCACCAATCTGTCAAGAAAACCATATGGAGTTGGGCCTTGGAAATTTATCAGGAAACTTTGGAATGAATTCTCTATGAATACCTCTTTCAAGTTGGGAAATGGCATCAACATCAGGTTTTGGAAGGATATATGGTTACAAGGGACTGTCCTAATGAATGAATTCTCAGACCTCTACCAGATAGCTAATGATCAAGATTCCTCTATCTCTCGGAATTGGCAAGACAATTGCTGGCAAGTCCAATTCAGAAGGGACTTCCAAGACTGGGAAATTCCACAGTTGTTGACTCTACTCTCCTGGCTAAATTAGAGGGATACTCAGTCAACCACAACATTGCTGACAATATTAAGTGGATGGATGACCTCTACTCAGTGAAAGCAGGGTACTTTCATTTATGCCCAACTAATGAAATCATTGATAGATAGCCTTGGAAGTACATCTGGAAGACAAGTCTTCCCCCAAAGATCATTTACTTCAGATGGATAGCCCTTAATGAATCTTGTTTAACACAGGACAACCTTAACAGAAGAGGTATGCCAATTGTTAACAGATGTTTTATGTGCCGGCAACATTTAGACTCCAACAGACACCTTTTGCTACATTGCTAAGTTGCCTCAGACATATGGTGCATGTTTCTTTCTATCTTTGGTCTCAGTTGGGTCATGCCACAAAGCATCAGAGAAGTCTATGAATGCTGGTCTGGTTGGAAAGTTGATAAAGTCATCAGGAAAGTCTGGCAGATGATCCCTGCTTGTATCTTTTCGTGTGTCTGGACAGAAAGGAATCGCAGATGTTTTGATGGGATATCAATTCCAACACACACACTTAAAGCTAGATGTCTCCTTTGGTTATTTAGTTGGCAGTATTTAGCCCCTGTAGATTGACATATTAACTTTTTGGATTTTGTCAGCTCTTTTGCTTTAGCCTAGTATTTATTTTCTTTTTTGTATCAAAGCTGACTCTTTCCCCCTCTCTTGTACTTCTTGCATCTTCTTGATGCCCTTTTCTATAAAACTCATTACTTCATCAAAAAATTCTGCAGAATATGAAGCTGCTTTTTTCGGTCTTTTCTGGTGCTCAATGCACAGGGAGTTTGCCATGTCATTCTTGAGATGGACTCTCCCCTATTTGTGAACATGCTAACTGGAGTTTCATCACCTTCCTGGGAGCTTGAGGAGGATATTTTGAAGATGAGAAAAATCATACAGCAGCACCAGATCACAGTACAACATTGCTACAGGGAAGGGAATATTGTTGCTGATGCCATGGCTAAATTTGGAGGGGAGTAGCCGCCTATCTTAATAGCTGAGATCTTCCTAACCATAGAGGGCTTGCTACTGGAAGTAAAGGGTGCTCTTGGGGCTCGACAAAACTCAGATGCCCAGCTTTAGAGTCAACACCAGGCAGCTTTGTAATTGTCCAGACTTGGTCGACCAGATCGGGGTAATTTTGATAGCTATCTATAGGCCTTTATTTATGCTTTATATAAGTCGCTTTTGTGGCAAGCTAACACCGACCAAATTTAAAGGAGTCCTCCTCATCTCATCTTTGGCAAGTCACTTAAAATGTAATATGTGAGACACTATGAAAATACATGTGAAATCTCACAACCACTCATTTAAAAGGGCGATTTTGGTACTTTGCATATATTTAGTCTACATGTCAAAAGTTTCTTTAATTTCTTAAACTCCAACTCTGGTCAAACACTTTCACATAAAATGGGATGTAATGAGTGCTATTTGTGTGCCTTTTGGTGAATTAAAATGGGATCTAGGGAGTGTTATTTATGTGCATTTTGGTGAAACATTGATTATTTATCAGGAAAATGGAACATATGGCAGGACTGTTGATAGGAGGATTATTAACTGGATAATGAGCTGAGCCAACTCTTTATCCTACACTAACCAATATAGGATGAAGCTTTGTTTGAAGATGACTTGCTCGGGGATATGTTGTCCTACTATATCCGGTCTGTAAAACAAACATGTAATAGCAGATAAGCTAAGTTTATTGTTAAGAACCTAGCAATTATTTCTTTACCTGAAAGGCATTGTTTTTCTCAATCATTCTCTTTATTTCATATAGGTGTTTGTACTATCATCTTGGGTAAATTTCAGGATGGTCTGAAAATACCTTCTCTAGGTTAAAAAAATAACAAACACCTGTCACATTTGAGAAACTGAGAAATACCTTTGCTTTAATTTAAGGAGTTATTACTAGTTAAACTCTAGTATTACTTGGTTTAGGGTGCGTGATGTCAACAATATTTGTTGAGATACTGCCAACCACCTGTGAGGTATTTTTGATTTGATGGACTTCCCTTTTTCTCTTTTTTTTTCTCAGCTAGTAAATGACTCAAAGAGAGAAATTAAAAGTACACACAAAAAGGAATCAAATTCCAACAATAGCAGAGTCCATGATAAAACTAAATTCCCTTATCCCTTCATGATAAAAAAATAAACTGAGCTTCTTTGGGAAAAGAACAATGGTCTCCCAGAGAAAGATTGCAAACTCAAGAATTGCTAGATGCTTATTGACAGGAATGGAAAAACTCAAGAATTGCTCAAGTTCTGTTTGACATTGAGCAAAGAATAGAATCAGAATCTATTTCTTTCGAAAGATATAAAGATGAATGACGGGTAAAGTAGTAAAGATTTCAAAATGACAATGTTATTCTGTTCCACTTCTACTGTTTAGTCGTGGAGGTGTGTCATTTTCAACCTGAAGGAAGGTCCGTCCATCTAATTTCGTCAAATTAGTTTTAGTTTCCTAGTTCATACTTCTGATACTGAACCTAGACTTCTTGTTGTGGTTCTCTCTAATCTATGCTGGCGAGATAGTGCCTTTGTGTGAAATTGGCAAAATACTGAAAAGGAAATGCCATTGGTTTTGTTGTCAACAACAACAACCTACCCAGTATTATCCCACACTGTGGGGTCTGGGAGGGTAGTATGTACGCAGACCTTACCCCTACCTTGTGAGGATAGAGGCTGTTTCCAATAGACCCTCTGCTCAGGAAAGCATAGGCACCACATTAATGGTTTTGTTGTCAGATCAAGAAAATAATATTATGTACTCTTTGCAGGATATCCCGCTGTCTGGCTGCCCTAGTTGTTGGCTCATCTGGTCTAAAATTCTCTCATCAATTTGCTAACTGCAAAAGCTGTGCATTATGCAGTGCATATCAGTCCCTTGAAGCCATGCAGCACTTAGGCATTGCAATCCTGAAATTCATATATATCTAGGGGACAGCAACCAGTTAAAAGCCAAAGTTATTCCTAGTGTTTAGAACTATTGCTGCAGGAGGAAGAAGCTGAGCTTATCCGTCTTGAGGTTCAACTGTTAATACAGATAATGTCGCGTGGCAGGGCTTAACGTATAATGAGCTGACCAGTTGCCATAAATCTCTTGGACATAGGCTTTGTCAACGAGAGTTATCATATGTTGTGTGGGTATCACCACGGAATGCTTAAATGTAAAAATTTTGGGAACCTCTTAAATTATGTTTACAATGGAAGTCAGTCTTGATAGAAATGCGAGAGAATACTGAAGGCAATATTTTGATCCTGAAAAAGTGAAAATACATGTAATTCAGGTTAGGTATGCTGAATGCTGAGGGGACTTTTGAATGGAACAATTGTATATAAAACCTCTTACTTGGGATATTACAGCAATGTTCTAGCTGTTTTTTTGGTATGTGTATGGTTACGGTGAGATTTCTCTCCAATTACAGCTACTGTTATAGCGTCAAATGCCTTTGGATGAAAATAGCAACACAGTAAAATAAGTATGGATGAGGATCCAAGTTCCACCGATTTTTGAAGGGGCTGAAATAATTCTTGAATTTCATTAACAATAATGTGAGGAAGAAAGTAATGGACAAACGTTACTTTATTTTGCTTAAAACCTAAAGTTACTTGTAGTAGTAGGCACAGTAAGGAATGAGGCTAAGAAGTGAACGGGACTAAAAATGTAATCCCACAGGCGGGGTCTGAGGAGCGTAATGTGTACGCATATCTTATCCTTATCTTGTGAAGGTAGAGAGGTTGTTTCCGATAGACTGAACTGGGCTAAAACAGTAGACAATTCTCGGTCAAGCTATTGCATCATTCATGCTACCTTCTATGAGTTATGCATTTATGGTGCTATAATACCTCAATGAGAATGAACCCAGATCCCTCCCCTCCACCTTCCTTCTAATCTTGAGTGTCTTTCTAGTTGCAAAGCTGCCCGAACACCAAAAAAAATCTTCATAGCCATCATGAATTGCTCCTTTACTTTTTCTTTTGTTTTCCTATGAACATTCCTGGCGAACAGTGGTGGATCTAGACTAAAAGAAGCAGCATATTCAACAGAACCCACTGCGTTTAGCTCCAACTATGTATTTTTTTTGGGGGGGGGGGGGGGGG